TTAACTAAAGGTAAATTTGGAGGATGATAAGAAGTTCACGCAGCATGTTTTTGAACATGTGGAGTAGTGCTGTGTATTGGACAGTAAAGTCAGATGACTCACTTGTATTTCTGCCTTTTTGTTAGAGGTATAGTGCAACTGCTTAGTGGCAACTGAGAACAGACTCAAAATCTATTTTGGCAGTAGAAATAAACATGGTAAGAATATAGTATAGATTTGATTGCAATTTATTTTACCATTTTATTATTTTATTATACCCAAAAATAGGTAATATTGGAAATAAGTACGTTATGATAATGAATTAGGTATTTTGAACAATTCATTCAAAGATAGTATTAAAATAATATGAAATGTAGTGGAAAAAAGAAAATGTCAAATTATCATAATAAGATTTTTAAGGTAAATATTAATCAAATTTTATTATTAATAACCAACATTAAAATCACCAGATTAAGAAGAAGATCCTTCTTTTGGTGAATATATTTCTAAGGGTTTAAGTTTTACTATTAAGCTTATTCTATTCCCAGGTCAGAACTAATACCCAAATACTTCTTTTCTGTGTTCTAAGACTTACTCAGAGAATGAATACAAGTAGTTAGTAATTTAGCCAATTTTTAGATGAAATGTTATGAAGTAAAACCTTACACAGCCAAGCAAGAGAAAGATTCAGAGCACTGAAACTATAAATGTAAATATCTTTGTTGTCCATTTGACACACTGGAAGGTACTTCATAGTTACTTGTTCTTATATTTACAAATTGAAGACTAATTCACAGCAGTATTTTTTCCCCTTTGAATATATTCATTGTGTAACTTGATTACACATTTGTCAGCTTTGGACTAATTATTTTTCTACAGCTAGGGCAGGGCATTGCATCTTCTGATTGTCTTCCTTACTAATAGGATTCTGTCTGCTTCAGCAGGCAGTAATTGAAGGCTTCATGTACAAGATTTAAAGAAAGGGTGGAGGGGAAAAAAAGTTTTAGCCTCCATGTGCCATTGTCACTGTTTCTGGTAAGCAGTAGAACAGAAAAACAGGAAAATTTAGCTTGAATAGGAAAGTCAAAGAGGAAGAAAAGCACCGGACAGGAGAGAGTGTACGTTTTAATGCCGTTGAATTATGCGTAACAAACCCTGCTCTGCTGTAGATTTCCCAATAGTGAGTGTTCAGGTGTAAATTTACTTTCTCAAATGTTGAATTTTAAAGAGCAGATTTTAAGTGAGATACTCTGTTGCTGTATATTCACTGCCATGAAATTTTCATAACCTTTCCCCATAAAAATGTATCTCCTGTATAGTGTAGCTATCTTCTGTCTACAAGTAAAAAGAAAATAACTGCTAATCTGTATTTAGGCTAGTCATCATTACAAAGTCAGTGGCAAATGCTGTCATATTGTTGTATCTGATACTCTGTGTTAGCCCTTTGTATCAACTATAAATCAATTTTTTCTGTATGACTCTCATGAAGGAATTTTATTTTTATGGAAAATGACCAAGAGTATGTTCTTGTTTTTTAACTCTTGAAAGACCAAATTATTTTCTAAAAATACACAGTACTTTATTGTTGTTGATTAAGAATTCTTATATTAAGATTCTTAGTACATATTTCCTTACCTACTGACAGGTACGATATTTATGTAAAAATTATATGTAAACTCCTCTTTTTTTGCATGCCACATATGCTCAGAATATTTAACCTTCTTTTTAGAAGAAAAAATACTTGTAAACATTCGGAGTCTGCAAATATATCTCACATTGTTGTATTTCTAATGTCTTCATTTTTGTAAATGGAAAAAATATTAACAGCTGCAAATCTTCCTTTAATGATGTAAAATCAGATTTAGAATTAATATTATCAGAGAAAGAAAAACTGCAACAGTAGAAAACTGCAAGCAGAAACAATCATCTTAAAACTATAAGTAAATATTTGGTTCTGTTTTCTGGATGGTATTCTCATTTACTTTCTTTGGGTTTTTTTTTAGTATTCACTGATGCATCCAATGTTGCAAAAGAACCGCACTCATAGTAATGTCTTATGTTAAGAATTATCCATAAGACAAATTCTTTCTTTTGGACCTACAACCAATCAATTTACATTCTAGATCTAAGTGTACTCCAGTGCAGTTTCCAGGCTTATTTCAGTCTATGATTTCTGTTTGATTTATTATCTTTCTGGGTTACTGTTTTGTTAAGGGGGAAGATTGTTTTGGTTTTTATTTGGGGTTTTGTTTGTTTGCTTTTGAGGGGGGCGTGAATTCTAATTCTAACCTTTAAGGCAGTATCAACTTTCAGAAAAAGTGGAAAATAATTACTGACCTTGTGGGGAAAATGAAAGTTTCTCACAAAGAATAAAGACATGTTATTAGTGATTAATTTTTGCTCCTGAGATATTTTTTTAATGGCTTTCTAGTCTAAGTATCTAGTTGAGCGCAACACACATTTTGGAAAATCCATGTGGGTTTATGATAAGAATAAGCATGGAAATGTAATAACATGTACTTAGTTGAAAATACAGCTATTAATCAAGTCCTTCAATGACAGTGTATTTTAAAAATTGATGGATCAGTTTTACTGCTAGTGGCTTGTAATCAAAATCCTACTACTTCATCCGTTATAACTGTATTCAGTTTTAAGATCACATAAGTGATCTTTAGAAACGTAATTCTCTTTAGAAACTGAATTATGTTCCCTATTTTAAGGAATAGTTTTTGTTTTCCAATGTTCAAAAGCAGCAGTAAATGCACTGTATGGTTCTTCTTCTATACATGCTTTTTTAATAGTGAAATAAGTCATCCTGTTGTGTTCCAATTCTTGTTTCCCCAAGTGATTCCAGATCGGTGACCATTGATAGAAACTGATTAGCCACTACTAGTTATGAGTATTAATACTTTGTGTAAAATTATCTGCATATCAGACCCTTTGCGTCTTGCAAAGCACATACAAACTCACGTTTTATTGATTTTATGTGTTTTGTTCAGGGGTATGGAAAAGTAGTATTGATCCCCTATGCAATTTCACAAATTCGTGTGTAAAAATATCAGCACAAAACTCATCTCTGAGGCTTTGGACCACCTTGGCTTTCACAGAACGCTGACTTTGTATCACTTTCAGCTTTTGATAAAAGAGGATAAAATCAAACCTCGGGGCTATGAAGCACAGCAGGAGTGCCAACTACCAACCTATTTATGTGCATACTCAGAGATAATCTGCTTCTGTGCTGTCCCAAGACAGAACTGTTAAGTAAATAAAGTGACTAATAAGACTATTGTTTCTATAATTATCCCCCTGTCGAAGTCAACAAGAGAAATAGTCATCTTCTACATAGCAGCATAAATAGATAAAATCATTGATACAACTAGCTAAGTAGGTAATTTTAGTAGTAGTAATGTTGGTTTATAACCTCCTATTAAAGGGAGAGGTCTTTGAATGTATCTGTAATCCAGACAAAAGAAATAGATTGACCTCTGATGGGTGACATTAAAAAGTGCCCCATGTTTCCTTAATTAGTATAATGTGTTATGAGATTTTGATATGCTTAGTTTAAAAAGAAAAAAAGACAGAAATTACTTCTCGTTTAAAGAGAACCTGCTTCCTGCTTAAGTGGCTAATATTTTAATTAAGTCTGGAGTGAAGTTTTTTGAGTATCTCCTGATAAACTCCCTTCTTTATGTTGATGATAATTAAACAGATCCCCAAGGGCTTCGGTAGGCGCTTTGCAAGGCCCATGCTAATTGTCAGACAGGAGACACTGACCAGTTGGTTTGCTCTTGAATAGCCCACAGCGTGCTGTCAGCCCAGCAGTTTGATTTTGCTGTATTGTGAGCTGTTGTCAGGGCTAACTGTGTCCTATTGTGGCTGAAGATGTTGCGCAAATTGAGGCAGATGGCTCTGATTCAGACACGTGTCATTCAGAAAGAGAAGAGGAGATTGGCCCTGCAAAGTGGGGTCAGACTGGGTCACAGACCTGCTCTACACTTGTTAGTGTTTTCAAAAGCCCATGTGCAGCAACTTTGTTGTTGTGAAGTAACCAAGGGGGAAAATAAAAAGGCATGGTGTGCTCCTTGTGGAAGATGGAAAAATGGGGGCTGTTGCCATCCTCTTGCTTCCTGTCTCTTGGGCCTGGCTGTGCCCCCAGAATGAATTAATAGGATTGACAGAAGTTCATTGTGCCTAAAATGGCTTTGCAGTCAATTGTGGTGCTTAAAAGGCTAGTTTTGGTTTTAATTCTATGTAATTAGTGGATTCTTCATGTCTTGGAATTTAGTAATGGTGCATTAGTCCTAACTTTTGTCTGTGTGATTGGTTGGTGTTTTTTTATTTATTTCCTCTGTAGAATTTTTAATAATTATAAAATATCTGAAATATTGGTCTCATTTTTATGATTACGTGGTCTGGAGATAAATTCACAGATGGAACGATTCAGTGTGTTGCTGTTACTATAATTTCAAAATTACTGGTTTGGGTGTTTGTAATTTTAACCAGTTTTAGTTTGAATTAATTTCTGATTGCAGGAGGAGACACTTTTCACAAAGTGCAACAGTTCAGCCTTTTTTGAGTGTTCTACTACAGAGTGTTCTACTACATAAAGCATAGTTGTATTGTCTTTGAGGCACCAAATGGTGGAAATACATGGAAAACTGTACAGCTGAATAGAGGTTGCCAATGGGCATGAATACTGTAGATGAACTGAAGAATCAGGATTTACATTAAAAGAAAATTATTTAAATAGACTTTAGTTTGTACTGCTAAATACAAAATTTGGTATGATACTTTTTTGTTCTTCTTAAATCCAAAAATATTTACACAATGCTTCACAAATTATGTCTGAAGAATTTATGGAGGTTTTTGTGGTTTATCCCTGAAGTGCATCAATGAATTTGGAAGTATATTATTATATTTGAGCTCATTTAATTTTAGCAGAAAGAAATATTAGCAGTCTTTGGCCTTAAGATCCTCAGTGATTTTTCTCTTTTTTTTTTAATTTTTCCTTCCCTCTCCAGGTTTGCAGCTAAAACTGTGCACAGTGGGTCACTGATGCTAGTCACAGTGGAGCTGAAGGAGAGCTCTACAGCACAGCTCATCATAAACACTGAGAAAACTGTGATTGGTTCTGTTCTGCTGCGGGAGCTGAAGCCTGTCCTGTCCCAGGGGTAACCTGCTTACATCTGGACTTCAGAGTCTGGCACACAACAAAAGTGCCTGGCATCCACTACTGCTGCCTTTCATTTATAATAATAGCCTTTCCATCTGGCAGTGGGGGAAGAATACACTCTTGACATTCTTGTCTTCTGCTTTAGAATGCTAGTGTGTATCTATCGTGTATGCAAGTTCTTTCCTTTTTTTCTGCTTGCTAACCAAAGAATATATATTTTACTGTCTATGTGCTTTCAAATGTATTTCCCATTTGTTCTACTCTAGTTCTTCCCTCTCTAGTAGATGACAGTAGGTTCCCCCACAACCTTTCTTCCCCATCAGTTTTCCTCCCCATAGTGAGCAAATATTAGATAATAAAGTTCAAGGGAAATCACACTGCTTGAAAACTGAGTTCAAATGGCAGATAGGTTCCAGCAACAAGTTTGTGGTTCAGAGAGATTTTGTTACATAAACGTAAAAATTCAGTAAGAACAGCAAAATGGTTGCTTTCTAGAAATGCTTTTAAACCTAAACTTGTCTATTAAGAACCTTGTTCCTACTTACTGTTCTTTTCTCAAATATGTTGTTAAGATACTAATAAAGTAGTGCTATGAGCAGAGCCTCCCTCGTCTTGTTTTGCTGGAGAATTGATAACAGAGATTGCCAATATTGTGTATACAGGTTAACTAAAGTAGATGCAAATAAAGTTGGACACTACATACACATCAGCAAACAAATCTTATGAATGCAGCCAGTGTTTGTGCTCCTATGGTAATTTTCTGCATGCAGATAGTATTAAATTAAATAATGATTATTAGACTGTTGTGGCAAATACTGTCATCTAGTTTGATGAATAGTTCAGATCTTTGCTTCAAATTTCTTTTTTGAACTAGATTAAAACATCTCCCCCCTTTGTATAAAACAGGACTTGAGGCAAAGAGAAATTCATAGCCATATCAACTGAAATAGGCCTGAGAAGACAAACAGCTGGGCAACCTCTGTTTTACCCAGTTTTCTGCTTGTAGCTTGGGTGTCACTGATTTTGACCTTCCCTTCGTATTCTGGTTACATGGTTCAGACTTAAGATGCTGATCTTCGTAATTTCTTTTCAGTTCTCCTTACTTCCAAAATGGCTTTTCCCAATAAGTCATGGCTCTGCTACAGAGAAGATATTTGTGTAGATGTAACCTTGCTCTGTCGCCAGCACCCTTCCGTAGTCCTTTGATTCTAAGTGGTGCTGTTCTGGTTTAGGATGGTACAAAATGCTGCTTCATCAGAAATGTTGCATTACTGCACGCTCCTTCTGAATTCTTTCCAAATTTTCTACTAAAATTCGGTACAACTAAAAGGAGGCTCAAATATGTAATGGAACTTACTGGCAAATCCTGAAGAGGAGTTGGATTTTTAAGGCACTTAAGTTGCACTTCCATGAGAAATGCAGTTCTAGAGTGTGCCAGCACTCAAAATATACTGCTACTTCTCAGGAAAAGAAACAAGAATCTTGTGCTCTCAACAGAAGTGTACATATTCTTAATCAGTGTTTACATTATTTTCTGTAGTCCTAATACTGCAGTAAGTTTTTTATTGATTAGTTTTCAAGTTGATGTAAAAGTTATTCTAATAGATGAAAAATGAACCATTGTAGAAATTACTGTCATCTCAGAGAAAATGCAAATTGGTCTAGATGGTGTTTGATATGAACTGTGAAAACTTCAGCCTTATTTGTAAAGGAGAAAACAAATAAGAATTGCTTCTCATACCACAGTACAAATCAAAGAAAAGTGCATTAATGCACTGTAAGTCACACACATTGCTGCGTCCCTGGAGTACTTAACATGCTTTAGCATTGAAGACCAGAAATTTGTTTAGTGAGGATAGTTGAGAAATTTCTGGTGTTAAGTTACATTTTTCAACACACTTTGACTTTGTCTAGTGGTTCCAAAACTCTTGGTACAGGTCTTTGGCTGATTATAGAATCATAGAATGGTTTGGCTTGGAAGGGGACCTTGAAGGTTATCTAGCTCCTACACTGATGCCATGGACAGGGACACATTTCACTAGACCACGTTGCTCAGAGTCCCATCCAACTTGACCTTGAACACTCGGAGGGGATGGAACACCCACAACTTCATGGGCAACCTGTTCCAGTGCCTCAACACCCTCACACTAAAGAATTTTTTACTGTTATCTAGACTAAATCTGCTCTCTTTCAATTGAAGCCCCTTGTCTTTTCACAACATGCCCTTAAAAATAGTCCTGCCCCATCTTAACTTTAAGTTCCCTTTAGGTACTGGAAGGACACAATGAGGTCACCTCGAAGTCTTCTCTTTTCCAGACTGAACAACCCAGTTCTCTCAGCCTTTCCTCATAGGAGAAGTGCTCCAGCCCTCTGGTCAACTTGGTGGTGCTCCTTTGAACTCGCTTCAACAGGTCCATGTCCTTCCTGTTCTGGGAACCCCAGAGCTGGATGCAGTGCTCCAGGTGGGGTCTCACCAGAGCAGAATAGAGGGGCAGAATCCCCTCCCTTGACCTGCTGCCCACACTGCTTTTGATGCAGCCCAGGATACAATTGGGTTTCTGGGCTGTGAGTGCACATTGCTGGGTCATGTCCAGCCTCTCCTCCACCAGCACCTCCGAGTCCTTCTCAGCAGGGCTGCTCTCCATCTGTTCATCCCCCAGCCTGCACTGATCCAGGTGCAGCACCTTGCACTTCGTCTTACTAAACCTCATGAGATTCCCATGGTCCCTCCCCTAGAGCTTGTCCAGGTCCTTGTGGATGGCATCCCATCCTTCAGGTGTGTCAGCTGCTCCACTCAGCTTGGTGTCATCTGCAAATTTGCTGAGGGTGCACTTGATCCCTTTCTGTTGTTCCTGAAGATATTAAAGAACACTGGTTCCTGTACGGACCCCTGAGGGACAGCACTTGTCACTGATGCATGTTGGGACTCTGAGCCATTGGCCACTACCCTCTGGATGTGATCATCCAACCACTTTCTTATCCATCAAACAGTCCACTCATCAAATCCCTCTCTCCCATTTAGAGACAAGGATGTTGTGGGGGACCTCATCAAAGGCTTTACAGAAGTCCAGACAAATGACATCTGTAGCCCTTCCCTTGTCCCCTGATGTTGTCACTCCATCCTAGAAGGCCACTAGGCTGGTCAGGCAGGACTTGCCCTTTGGTGAAGCTGTGCTGGCTGTCTCGTATCACCTCCCTGTCCTTCATGTGCCCTTCCACAGCTTCCAGGAGGATCTGTTCCATGACCTTCCCAGGAACAGAGGTGAGGCTGACAGGCTGGTAGTTTCCAGGGTCCTCCTTTCTACCCTTTTTAAAGATGGGAGCGATGTTTCCTTTTTTCCAGTTACCTGGGACTTCCCTGACTGCCATGACATTTCAAATATCTTGGAGAGTGGCTCGATAACTACATCAGCCACTTCCTTCAGGACTCTGGGATGTATTTCCTCAGGTCCCATAGACCTATGCACATTCCATTTCCTCAAGTAGTCATGAACCTGATCTTCAATTTATGGTGGGAGGAACTTTGCTCTCCCAGTCCTCATCCTGTCATCCCTCCACTACAGCGGTGTGGAAAGAAAGGTCACCATTGCAGACTGAAGCAAAACAATTGTTCAGTACCTCAGCCTGTTCACTGTTCATTGTTACCTGTTCATCCGCATTGTTTGTCAGAAGGGATACACCTTCTTTGACATTCCTTTTCTGATTAACATACCTGTTGAAGCCCTTCCTGTTACTCTTTGCAGCCCTTTCCAGGCATTTCTGATTTTGTCTTGGCCTTCCTCACCACCTCCCTGCACAATTGTACTTTATCTCTATGCTCTTCCAAGATTAATTGTCCTGATTTCCACTGCCTATTCATTTGCTTCTTGTCCTTCAGTTTGACCAGCAGGTCCCCTACTCAACCATACAGGTATTCTGCCTTCCTTGCCCACTTTCTTGCTCCTGGGGATTATTAGCTCTTGTGCTATATGGAAGACTTGTTAAAGATCTGCCAGCTCTGTCCCACTCCTTTGTTCCTGAGGGCAGTCTCTCAGGGAATCCCACTGACTATCTCCCTGAAGAGCTAGAAGTCTGCCTTCGTAAAGTTCAAGGGCCTGACTTTACTCCTTACCTGACCTATATTCCCCAAGTCCGCAAATTCCACCAAGGCATGATCTCTGCAACCCAGGCTACCTCCAGTCCTGACATCCCCAGACAGCTCACTCAAACTGGTGACCATCAAACCCATCCCTCTGGTAGGGCTGTCTATCACCGTGCCACTTTCCCAGCAGATATAAGAGTGGTTGAAGTCTCCCAGCAGGACAAGAGCCTGTGAGCACCATCCCTCCCTTCTGTAGCTGGAGCAGGAAGGCTCCATGTGCAGGCTCCCCTTGATGAGTCAGCCTGTTGCCTCAGTTTTCAACCTCTGCGGGCTTTCAACCTGCGCATGGCTGTTCTTCAGAGGCCGCTCTTCACACATAATCCCTGTCTTGATGTGGAGGGCAACCCCTCCACCTCTCCTTCCTTTCCTGTCTGTTCTGAACAGCCCACAGCCATTGATAGTTGCGTTCCAATCATGGGATTCATCCCAGCAAGTTTCAGTAATGGCAACAAGGTGATAACTTTGCAGCAGCACAGTGGCTTCCAACTGCTCTTGTTTGTTGTGCGTGCTGTGTGCATCAGTGTAAAGGCACCTCAGTTGGGTTCTCAGTCATGTCTCCGTCCTATAGAACACACCTCAGTACCTTGGAGATACTTCCCTGGTGTCTCCATGTTGGCTTCTGTTATCTCAGGAGTCCCTGGCTCATCTTTGTGAGACTGCAGACGTGTTCCAGCACATCTGGTACCTCCTGGAGTCACCTGCAGAGAGGCCTCACTAGCACCCTGTCCCTCTAACCTTTTCATACCATCCCACAGCTTGCCAGGGATAAGCCCGATATCACTCCCCTCCCCCCTCACATCTGGTTTAATCAAGGAATTGGGTTCCCTAGAAGGGGTGTAAGAAGATTCACCACAGCCATAAACACCTTCAGTGAGGTTAGTCCTTTGAGGAAGTAACCAATGAGAAGCAGTCAAGGAACATCTTTCACTGCACTGATTGGTATAATCTATTCCCCAGGAGGAAGCAATGGCACTTTGAACCCCATTCCCTGAGTCCTTTAGTGTAAAGCTTCTCTGTCCGAATTGGTCA